TCTGAAGTTTTGATCATTTAGTAGGATAATCCTCCTATTTAGGTAGCTATGTCTTTGCTCTTATAGTGATTACTTTTAATTTCTAGTTGCAAATAACTAGGGGTGTTCATATCTGATCCAATCCGATTGATCCGACTTAAACTGATCCAATCCAATCAAAAACTGATCCAAACCGATATAAAATTGAGTTGGTTTGAATTATAAAATTTTAAAACTGATTAATTGGTTTTGTTCGTGGTTTTACTTTTAAACCGTCTGAATTGTCCGATTACAAAATAAAATCCGATTACAAAATAAAATCCGATTACAAGATAACTTAATTAAATAATATAATATATTTTTTGTAGTATTTTAAAATTTCTTTTTCTTATTTTACAAGATAATAACTCCATTAACTTAATGAAAAAATAAAAATAAAAAATCTCCATATTCCCTAAGTTATTTTTCCATTTTAATTATGCACTCTAACCCTAATTCTAAATTTCTAATTCACCTGTAACTCTATCCCCTCAAAACTGGTTTACGCCTTTACTCTTAAAATCCTAAATTTCTAATTTATTCTTAAAATAATCTTGTGATTCTCCTAACTAAATTTTAAATAAGTATCATTCTAAAAGTCTTAAAACTATATAATAAAATTAGTCTTGATATTCTACTATTCTTGGATATTTGGTTTGGAAGTTTTAAAGTTTGATTATGAATGCTTTTACTTAATTTTAGTGATATTCATATTGAATTTTATTAACTTTTAACAGAATTTAGAAGATGAGATTAAATTATTAGTGTATTAAGAAAAAAACTAATTTTAATTTTTAAGAATTATATATGTTATGCTAGAAACTTGAAGTCATCTTTTATTGTTCTTGGTACCTCTAGTGATGTAACCAAGAAGAATTTTCAGATCTTTTCAATTTTTATAAATGTAAAGAAGTATAAGAACTCATTTATAATTTGTACTTTTTATTATGTTTTTATTGATTTGCATGCTAAAGTGTTTTATGGTTATACTTTCTATTTGATGTTAAAATATTTTTACATTATCTTATATATTTAATAATGTTAAAAACCGATTAATCCGACTAAACCATATCAATCCGATTTAAATTGGATTGGTTTGATTATCATATAATAGTGGATTGGATTGGTTTAAAAATTTTATTAACCGATTAAATTGGATTGGTTTAAAAAATATTAAAATTTGAACCAAACCACACCGCAAACACCCCTACAAATAACCCTCTATATTTAATTATTTAAATTCTTCATAGGTATAGGTTTAAATTTACAACTAGTGTTATAGGTTATACTTCACT